GCTTGTGTGATTATCCCTTTCTGGAAACTAATACTTTTTCACTCTGTGGAACATCTGTGAGCCAAATAGGCAACAAGTACAAGTCACTTATTTTGCGACTTATTTTCTTCTGTTCTTTTAGATGTAAATACTATACTATGAATTTCTGTATTTGGAAGAAGAAGAAAATCATGTTGATTACAGTTTCATTACCGCTTGTAACAGGCACATAAGAGCAAAGTCGAGCACGCTGCCCATCCCTTCCCACGCCCCCTGTTAGCTAACCATTACCTTCCCTTGCCTGCCGTTTCCATGAGAGCGGTCGGTATACTCGAGTTTCGGCGTTAGCGCATTGTGAGTAGGCACCATTGCTAACTGGTGCAGGCTTTTGCAATGAACGGCTTTTGAGAGCGGTCGGTATACTTGTGTTTCGGAGATAGCGCATTGTGAGTAGGCACCATTGCTAACTGGTGCAGGCTTTTGCAATGAACGGCTTTTAGCTCTTGATGTCTGGGTAGTTTTCTGCACAACTAGCCTCCTGTGATGCTGCAATCTCACACACATGACTATTTTTGGGGTCGTTTAGGCAGAGTTTTAGTCCTTCATTTATTTTTTCTATTTCTTGTTTGTTTGTTACCTCGTTATTATTTCTCTCAATGTAAAAAACCTCTTCTTGGGCCACCTTGCTCCGCCTCCTTTTGTCATTGTTCAGCGCGTTCACTAACGCACACATAAGTAATAAATAAATAAATAAATAAATAAATAAATGATGATGAGCACACATAGAGACGTTGCTGGCGATTGCTTACTTGGGGCAGTGATTGATGGAGTTTGACTTGTGGTTGGCAAATTCATCTAACGTAGCTATGGCCACCCCTTCGTGGAATCACTGTCGCTGTGGCGTTCTGAAAAGTTGCCGCCCTTCCTACCCCCTCCCTTTTGTTCTAATCAGTTTGTGATCAGGTTTCGATTTTTCGATTTTCTGCTTAGCTTGAATCTTTTCAAACAGTTTTCCAGAGAACTACATGGGTAGGTTGGTTGCTCTGTGATACCTGATTATGGCACGCACGCCTTCGGTAGAATGGTTCAATACAATCACTCAGAATCAATCGTAGAGAGGTCGAATTCTATGGAAAATCAGAACTTAGCATCAGTACAACGGGGTGCAGTTGACCTTCCACTATAACAAAATTCTAGGAGTCTCGAATATGGGGGAGTGCAGATCTTAGTTGCTACAACCAAACGCCAGCACTCTCAGAAAACGAGGTACAAGTGTTTGTCCTTCCTGCTGAGGTAGTCATTCGTTGGCATCCGAAAGCTGCTTCGTTATTGTAGTCAAACAGGCTCATGAAAGCCTTCCAAGTGATCCCTCGCGTAGGTTCTCGTTTTCACCGCTCAAATTTTGCAGTCCTCGAATTTACGGGTCTTTTCGAAAAGCTGGCGATCATGCTCGATTATTCTATACTGTGTAACTTAATTTGCAAAGGAAAGGCCAATAACCAAAGTAAAATGATGGAAATCGTGCATTGAAGAGTGTCGCCTCTCCTACAGGTATGGCTTATGCTCGGCAAGTAGAGATTTGTTCCTGAACTTCCCAAATCTTACCAGCCTGTGAGTAAACAGGCTTCCTAAAAAAAGACCTAAAGAAAATCTATGATTTACGTTTTTAAGGACGAAAAGAAACGTGAAACGATTTAGAGAAGAGTAACCTGTATCCAACTGATTTACCTCTCATGTCATGTCTCAATCTTGAGACAATATGATTGAAGACATCGCTCTTCTAATATACGTAGAAGGGGATATGGAAACTGGAGCTGAACGTAGCAAAGTTTCTATTCCATTCAGTCAAATGAACTTTGGCTATTGCTCACTCCTGAGTGCTCCTTGCCGCTCATGATCTAATAGTAACCTTTCCAAAGGAATCAGATCAAGAGACTTCTCCTAACAAATTGTCCTTTCAGGGTATCCCGAAGTTGTGATCCCAGGTCGATTGCNCTTCGCCATGCAATTGTCAAGACTAACCACTGCATTTTTTGCTTTACAGGTTCACTTTTATTATCTTTTTCCCACACCGATTCGAAATGTCATGGTGTTGTCATGGTACAAAAGTCAGCGGAGGAAATCGTTCTGTTCAAATAACTCAGTAATTATGCTCTTGTAACGAAGCAATGAGTTGAGCAGGAACTGGCTTGTGACCGTTACCCTAGAATTACGCCATGCATCCAAGACTTCTAGACTTGCGCTATCCATTTTGCAGTTGTTGAAGGCACTTTTGAATCGGTCATTTCAAAATTCATGCAGACAAGCCGTTTGCTTGAATGACTCATTTTTTGTGAAAACATCGAACGGACGCGAAAATAAGGAACGTGGTCGATCATTATTATCAATTACTTGTCAACCAAGTACTCTAAGTGGCTCTAAATGACCATAAATGCGCCGTGGCCAGCGCTTTTGTGTTTCTCTTAGGACAAAATTGTGTGCTATCATTCTGTATGAGGTGTGTAGATCAGAATAATACGTAGGCATATCTCTGCTTGGTCGATTGCGAGTCACGGGATGATCTTGACCCCTTCAAGCGCCAAAATCCTCATGCTTTCTTCTTACACCGAGTAATGTGCACCCAAACCATCAGTACTGTTGCAGTACTGGGATGGCATTCGACGACTGGAAGACCTCCGTACCATTCCTTAGGCTTCGTCTGAGAAAGCGAAAGCAGGCTGAAGCTATGCACACAAGAACGGGAACCTTTCACTCAGGCTCCTTTTCCTGAAATAGCTAGTCGCTCAGGAATATAGGTGTTCCTAAATGATGGCGCGATCTACCTAAAGCCAATGACGCAGTTTTTTCTTGCCAGTCCTACAATAACAATCTTCTCACTGTTTAATGTCCTTCGTTTCAGCTGTATTGCATTGTTTTCCCGTGCACCTTTGTCTTCCATAGAAGAAGCGTTGTCGTGCCGGGATATAAGTACTACCCTGCCAATGTGAGCAGGTCTGAATGTTTGCAACTTTGCTTCGCCGTGCCATGGTGTACCGCCGTTCTTTACAACAAGGTCGAGGAGGTAAATTTTTTCGGAAATAAGTTATGTGTGTGAGCTGTGTATTATTCGTACAATTGGGTTAACACCATAAAGAATTATTTTGAAAAAAAATTGCAACAAATTCGATTCCTATTCCAAAGAGCAGGTCACGATCGAAAATTGACAGCAAACAGAAACAGACAGGTTCTGATGAAATAATCTAGCACTTCATCCAACTGATCCATAAAAAATGTACACACCAAAAGGGGCTGCAGGGTAGTCGGCTTTAGGGAACCCGAACAATTGGTAATGGCTAGCTGACTTAACTGAAATTGGGTGAGCTGACTGGGCAGGGAAGCAACGAGCTTCGGGACTGAGATCTTTCGAATGTCCAACGTTCTATGCGCCACTCATTGTCGGCGCCTTCGGGTGCCTTCCTCACAGTATAAGGCAGGGGTCGATCGTTGAACTTTGGGTATAGCATCATTGTAGTCGCAGTCTTTCTCACAGTTTTATCTCATCCTTCTTTCATGTATTTTTCTTTTTTTTTATTTCGGTCTTAGGTTAGTACTGAAGAGAATTTCCTAGGATTGAGGTAGCATAGGTGAGCTAAGGGGCGACTTTGAAACGTGCGAAATAGGGAAGGAATTGCAAGGGACAGAATATTCGTGTAGCATTACGGAGAATATACGAGAGCGACATGAGTTCCATCTGTATGCAGAACCTACTCCATCTCCACGCAGTAATTCCAGCAAATGGAATAGTTACCAAAAGTCACCAGAAGTTTGGCAGCACCACCGGCGGAACATTGCCCTTAGGTCATGTTTCGCTTCATTTTCATTCAATTTAATACAAAGTTTCTTTCTTCGGGTAACTTGTAATGAAGAGAAGGAAAAATAAAGTTTAATGGAGCATGCATAGTCTACAAATCGAGTTTGGGTCGAATTCGGACGTTAAATAAACATCGAAAGGGAGCGAGAAAAGAACTCGAGCCGGTCATCACTAAAGTTCCGTCTACGCACTAGCCGTCATTTACTACAACAATTCAATCAGTGCACATGAAATGAACTAGCCTCAGCGTAGAAGCCACACATAATTACTTCCTTTGATATTCGCTTTAATGAATTTGTCTTCAAAAAAAAAAACTCGTCTGTCTTTCAGCTAAATTGCTGGATGTACATCTTTAATCCTCAATGGTACCTGAGACCCGGATTCCATGAGAACCGGACGTCAACGNTCCTTTGATATTCGCTTTAATGAATTTGTCTTCAAAAAAAAACTCGTCTGTCTTTCAGCTGAATTGCTGGATGTACATCTTTAATCCTCAATGGTACCTGAGACCCGGATTCCATGAGAACCGGACGTCAACGATACGCGTGGAATCCGATGAGGAAGCATACGTACTACATCGCAACTTCTCCATTCGTGGCTGCCCTACTGTTGCCCAAGTTTTGAACCTTACTTCCTAATTTCTTGTCAGCTGAGAGATCTTTGGCATACACAAAGAGAAGCCTTTAGTGTCGCCTTGTGTTTGGGAAATTTTGAATGATAGTTTTGATGGAATAAATGCGTTCATGAAACAAAGCTTTGTCACTACAGGTTGGCTTTTAAAGGCACCGTTCACGATAAAAAAGGTTATTGAGTTCTTACCTTGTTAATACTCAGCGGCCCCCATGG